GCTCAAATTCTCCACAACAACATGACATATCAATGAGATGAAATCGTGATTTTGTAGAGGAAGGTCTTGGCTTCAAATACGCGATTTATTTTGGGGTGTTGCATTTCCATTTTTGGAGAATTTAAAAATCTACACGACCAATAAAGAGTTGTGGGACTAAGTGACTTGTCCCATTTATTCATTTTTGAATACTTTTCAAAAGCTTTAATGTGAATGGAGTGAATAAAAAGATATCTTATATTTGAAAAAGCTCATCAGAAAAAAATATTGCGAGAAAAAAAGTAAATAAAAGGATTTGTGAACTGGCATTAATATATATTTATATATATAATTTAATATTTTATTTTATTTGATCCCGCATTGTGCGCAAATAAATGATTATGCTCGGAGCGAGCGTTCCGCACATAGTAATAGATTTTAGACATTGACACTGATTTCGATTATTTATATCACACGTTTTTTTCTATAAATGTGAAGTTTTTACATGCATAATTTTACGGCCGTCAGATGTATATGCATTAATATCGGCAATATAAGTTCCCTGTTATTTAATTTTTTAAAAAAAAAACTTTTTAAAAAAAAACCACAAGGTAAGTTTAATAGGAATGAAATAAATTTGTTCATACCGGGAGAATAGCGTTGGGTATTTCAAATTCACGGTGTAATTCACGATGACCTTTCTTGATTGGACAATTTATTTCTGCATATTCGGCTGATTTTTCGCACAAGTCCATTCTTTCATCAAAAATATTGACTGAACCAAGTTTAACAACCACATCAACATAACTACCGTTCAAGATTGTTTCCTTTAAGAATCCAGCAGCATCAACAAAGAGTGGTTTTCCTTTGGCTGGTGGATCAGGTTTCAAATTAATATATTCAATTTGAAGAATATCTTCACTTTTACTACAATCTGTTATGGTTCTTGAAACTGTGAAAGCATTATTATCAAGTTGTAAAGAATATTCTTGAGGATGAATTTTTTGTAAAAAAATTGAATTGACAATTGTGACTAGTGATAGTAAAAGCAATAATAAAATTATATTTTTCATTTTTGTTTCTGACATTACTGATATTAAATTTTTTAAAAAAAAATAATAATAAATTACATTTAATTGTTACACGCACGAAAAGGGAGAATAAATAATGACGTACTTTAAAACAGCGCCAATTTTGGTTTTATTATAAGTTCTGGGATTCAAGTGTATCAATACCAAATTTGTAAAAAAATTTCTTCGATAGTTACATAAAAATAGGTGAATAATTGGCATTTTGATTGTGCAAAAGTACCATTGGCGGTAGAGTTCGTCAAACTTTACATATAAAATCTTTCACACGCTATAAAAATAAAAATAAAAATACTATAATAAAAAATTAGCCTAGGCTCGTCAAATTATGCATGTAAAAACTTCACATTTATAGAAAAAAACGT